AGTAGCAATGATTGTAACCAGTAGCATAGCACAGTGCCTGTAAATGCATATTCATATATAGTTATCATTTGACTTCTTTTACATAGTTTGCATAATTTGTTGAAATTGTCAGACATTGTAGACAAAGGTGACCCACCAGAGGCTGTGTCATTATAACTGTCCCAGAAAAAGAAGTCACTGAAAATGACAGAGCGATGGCTCAGATGTGGAGTACAGGGTGAAACTAGCTAGATTACTAAATGAATGTGCAGAAGTACCCTTGAGAATGATGATGACAATCATTTTGGTGAAAACCACATAATGTCCTTCCTATCCACTTCTACAGCAGAGGCAGGCAAAGTCTCTGGACAAACAAACTCACCACAGCTGCCTGATCTTGGTCAGTGTCTCACAGTGTGATATCACAGGGGGCAACAGATAACCCACAAAAATCACCCAAACATGCTAAAAAAGAATAATTAAGACATATTGTTTGTTGGCGACTTTTACGCACTATGTGTCTCAGCATTCGGTGACCCTGCTCTGTTACTTTCCCTGGTCTTCCACTTTGTGACTGAGTTTTTGTTGTTACTAAACACTTCCGCTTTGCAGTAATACCACTTACAGTTCACCATGGAATATCTAGCAGAGAAGAAATTTTACAAACTGACTTATTGCAAAGATGGTACCCCATGATAGTACCAAGCTTGAATTCACTGAGCTCATCAGAACGACCCATTCTTTCACAAATGTTTGTAAACCTGATTGCATGCTTAGGTGCTTGATTTTATACACCTGTGGTAATGGGTCTGAATAAAACATCTGAATTCAATGATTGAGTGGGCTGTCCTAATACTTTTCTGCATATAGTTTATCACATTCACAAGGTCAAATGTTGTCTGTTCCCTTTTTTATTGCTATCACTATGCGGTGCAGTTTGAAAAACATCAGTCAAACAGTTTTTGAGTTATCAACTTAAAAAGCAAAGCATCTACAGCAGCAGTAGTGGACCAGCACTAAAACCATATGTATTCATCAAAGTCCACATTTTAATATCGGGGTATTATGGGTGCTAATGCCAGTCAACCGGCATCAGCTATGCTCGTCACTACCCCAGAAAGGTATAACAGTAATCCTTATAAGTGACAAGATTTTCTCATGCAGTGTTTGATGAGCATTAATCACCACTCTCAGTCACAACTGAGTGGGACAAGAATATAATATTACATTTACTTTTATCCAAAGGTATGTACATTTTTTGTGAAGCAGGGTCAGACGGTCTCTGGAGCAACTGGGGGTTAAGGACCTTGCTCAAGGGCCCAGTGGTGAGCCACACACTGCTCTCAATTTGTAATATTAATTATAGACAAAGCTGGGAAGAATGTCAGCACGATGCCTGCAACTACACTGATGTCTC